GGTTATTCTTAGAAATATTTTACAATAATTTTCTTTTTCTGGAACGATACAAACAATATATTTTTTGTAAAAACTCTCACTTTATTCTTTATAACAGTTTTTTTATGCTTTTAGCACTATGCTTTTAGGTATCCTCATATGAATGAGTCTTTTTGTTTTTCAATTTTCTTCTTTTTTCTATAAATTGTTATAATTTTATACTTTTTTTTAACTATCTTTAATAAAGAAACTAATTGTCAAATAATTTTTTCTACATTGTACAATCAGATATTTGATTTAGGTGCTAACAATGCTGCGGATTATTTTGATAACGCAGCTGAATACCTGAGAGCACAAATATCTTGCGAAAATGTTCTTTCAGCTCAAGTAAGTTTTCTTATTTTTTTTCTTTATTCTTTGTGTAACACTTAAAGATTTATAACCTACATGTATATTTTGAAAGTTTATTAATTCCAATGTATTTATTTAAAAGCGGTTGGAACTTTTTTAGACATGTGAAAAAGTCCAAAAAATTGCCGATAAATTCAGTGTATCATTAACCGAAGTCAACTCAGTTATACGATCTGCTGTAGCCAGTGGTGTTACTAATGTTACAGATCTTTACAAACATACTGTTAGTTTCATAATTGAGAAATGGACACAAAGTTTTGGAGACGAGCCCTTGATGTACAAGAGAAGCATAGGTTCGGATCTTTTTGATTTACCCGTCAACTTAATATTATTTGTTGTTTTGTTGTTGTTTTTATTTAATTATTTTTAGAGTTAAAAATTTGAGGAAATTTTTAATTGGCTCAAACCTTAATTCATTTTAAATTTTAGATTAAGAAGAGATCAAAGAAACAGTTGTTCCCGTCGTATATATATATATATATATATATATATATATATATATATATATATATATATATAATATATATATATATATATATATATATATATATATATATATATATTCATTTATAAATTTAACCCTTAAAATGATAGTTAAAAAAAGAAATACCATTTTTCCTAATTTTTGGTCAAATTTTTGTTAAATAACTTTTTTTAGTTTTTATTTTACTTGATTGAACTTTTCCTAATATTTCAATGCATTTTGTAAAAACTTTAACAAAAATTTAATGTATTTGTTAAATTGGAACATCTAAAAAATGATATTATTGGAACATCTATCCAATGGTTCTATTGGAACATCTAAACAATCGTTTTATTGGAGCAACCGTATTTTGTAATAATTTTTAAAATTGTTTTTTCAAGTGTGTACTAACTGAATAATGTGTGTAAGGTCAGAGATATGGTGGTCAGAAGGAGGTCAGAGATATCATTCATGTGTAAGGAGGTCAGAGATATCATTCATGTTTAAGGGGGATTGTTTAAGTTCTCAATTTAAATATGTTATTTAAAACTTTTTTGACCGAAACATATTTTTTAACGTTAAAATCAATGTGAAAGTTAATTTTAAATGCGTACTCTAACATTCCCCCAGCAAACAATAGACGTCTTTTAGACCGTCTAAAATTGGTCTAACTTGTATCTATTGCCGATACGTATATTTTAGACATATATTAGAGATCAAAAAGACGTCTGATTCTAGAGACACTATTTTTGCTCTGTTTTAGATGCATATTAGATGCATAAAATAGATCGTGCATAGATAACTTTTTTTTCATCTAAACTTAGATGTCTATAAGATGTATATAAATTTGTTATAAAAACAAGAAAAAAATATCAACTAATTTTACGGAGCGACAATTATAAATGGCCGCCATTTAAAAACCATGCTTAAACTTATTACGAAAAAGCATGAAGATTTTAACCTATGGAAAACATTAATGATTATTTCTTTTGATAAATTTTAAATAATAAAATAACATGCTATTATAGTTCACAAAATATTTCGATGATTTGATGCTTAGCATGTTTGCTAAAATCCTTGTGATTTGAAATTTATTTTGCAGAAATATTACAAAATTAATATTTTCAAGTTGATATTTTTATTTCTAGAATAAAAGATAATGTAATTAAAAAATATATATATATATATATATATATATATATATATATATATATATATATATATATATATATATATATATATATATATATATATATATAATATATATATATATATATATGTATATATATATATATATATATATACATATATATAATATATATATATATATATATATATATATATATATATATATATATATGTATATATATATATATATATATATATATATATATATATATATATGTATATATATATATGACTCATATATGAATCTTGGTTTCTCGATAAAAATGATAAGTGCGCAACCAATAAAAAAATCTTTTGTGTTATTGAAAAACACTCATAATATGAGTGTTTTTCAATAACACAAAAGATTGTTTTATTGGTTGTGCACTTATCGTTTTTATCAAGAAACCAAGATTTATTTATGTCTTTTACAAAAAGGGCATACGAAAAGAGACGCAGTAGACGTGTCCAAAAAGAATAATAAAAAATACTAGAATTTTCATCAGTACATATAGAAAAAAAATCGAATGTTGGAACTTCTAAAAGAAATGATTTTTTATCTTGCAAAAATCTAAAAGAATATTTTGACCATCATGAGTCATCGATTTTGTACAATGAATACTCTTATGACCAAAAGCCTAATGAGTATAAGCATAACCCAACTTTAAAGGAAAGTTTTTCTGCATGTTTTTCTAACCAAGTAATTATGCACTAAACAAGTGGATTGACAAATAATACCAACAAATTTATTGTCCAAAAAAAAAACTATAATCATGCACTGAAAAACAACCTTTTGTCAACAAAAGAATAGCACAAATTTCCATTGATAAAGTGATAGTCAGTATCTAACTTGTTTTGTATTTTTTTTAAAGGTAACTTAATTACTTTTTTGTAGCAAAATGTTTTATAATTAGATTCATTTTTATGTTGTGAAGAATACAACTTTCTGCATCAGATGAGATATATGTTAAAGAAAGCATTAAAAATAAGAATAACAAATCATACCGCTCTTCATTGCCAGAACCTCCGCCACCTATTATGAATAAGCCCAATGCTAAAAGTATAACATAAATATCATAATTTTTTCTTAATGGTTTATAAACTGAAATAGATTCTTGTTTAATTTGATCTGAATAATATCTATCTAGCTATTAGTCTTTTTTATGTATTACTAAGATTTTCCTTTTATTTTAACTATTTAAGTGTCCTATTAAATGTAATGTTGTTAAATTGGTTACATATATTTATATCATTGACAACATTCTATTGTATTAAATAATCTTTTAATCAACTTGATATGAAAATTGAAAATTGATTGAAAGAATGCTGAAGTTGTTTGAATTCAGAAATTGAAAGAGTACAAAATTGGTTGAAAGATTAATTTAAGTAACAGGTATGGTTGAGGGATTTTTTATAGTTCTAATTATAATTATTTCTTTTGAATAGAGTTGTTATCAGATTCAAAGATTGAAGAAGATAATTTTTCTCCACATTTTATTGATGAACACCAAGCAAAGTTCACATTGTCAAAGAGTTTTAATGTGAGTAATTTTGGTTTTTACACCACTGAATGTTAATGTGGAGGTCTTTTTTATTAATTTGTTTTTGTATTAAAATAATTGTAAAAGATAGGTATAAAAGAATAGAAATGGATTATTTATAATATTGTGATCCGATAAATCATGTGTGTAGCATTTTATCTTTAGTAGTTAAGCAAAATTCTTTAATATCGTAGGCTTTTACAGGATAAAGTTTTAGCTGATTTAAAAAGTAGGTTTTCCAAAATATTATGGCAACTTCTGCGATGGAGTAATAAAAAAACTTAGATGTATTTTTGAAATTTTAGTTTAAGTTACTCAAGCATAATTTGAATTTTAAAGTTCTTATTTCATTGTTTTGCTATTTGGTTTTATGAGCTAAATATGTTAATCAATCTTTTTATTCTTGTTTGTAGAGATGCAAAATGTTATTCTCAACGAGCTTGCAGAAATAAAAGTTCTTTTAAAAGAAGTTATAGAAATTAAGTTTCAGGCTACTGGGGTGAAGTTGCTAGAATCGGTGGACAAAGTGGATAATAAACTAAAAGATAAAACCGAGTATACTAATTTGGTTTAATCTAATTATCTTAATTTTTAATAAGTTTGTTTAAATTTGGTTTATTAGTTTAGAATCTAAATAAAAAGTATTTGTAAATGAACTAAAATAACTAGCTTGTGTTAGACTCAATATGTTGTAAAGAAATTTAAGTTACACTAGTTTTTATTACATTTATTTCAGCTTGATAGTTTAAAAAAGATTGGTGGTGGAAAGCCAAGAAAACATGTTTTTTTGATCATAAAAAGTTAAATGATTATGTTTTTATTAATTATTAGAAATATGATTAAAAGGGACCAAAGCAATTCTTTTTGACCTTTTATTTGTTATGGATTTACTTTTAACATGACAATTTGATAAACTCGGGAGCTTCGCTGTAGGTGTTTAAGTTTGTTTGTGTGCTAAAGTAAGTGTAATGCTAAACCTTGTTTAGCATTTTATTTTCAAATTTAATGCTTTTACCTTTCATAATTTTAAGCATTCATTTATTAAAATATATTTTAATTTATTACATATATTAAAATAAAAATCTTTATATATTTCAGTTTATTGTTAAAACTTTTATCAGGTTATTTTCGAATCAGTTACAGTCCAAATTAAATCGAAAAGTTTATGGGGAAAAGATAAGCTTAGAAAATCTAGTAAATATATGGAGTGTTTTACGAGGTATAGTTTTAATAGTATTTACAAAACTGATATCTGTATTAAAAAGATATTCTTTGACTTTTTTGTGTCATGCTAGAATTTTTGTATCCATAATACAAGTTCCTTTAGTTTTTTCATAAAAAAATTGTTTTTTATTATTGCATCTGGTTGAGATACAAATCTTCTTGTTTGTATATATATATATATATATATATATATATATATATATATATATATATATATATATATATATATATATATATATATATATATATATATATATATATATACACATATATATATATACATACATATATATATATATATATATATACATGTATATATGTGTATATACAGTATTGGACAAAAAATTTGCAACCAACATCGAACAATGCTAAAAAGTGTTCCTAATTTTATATGTCTTAAAAATGAAACGAACTATACTACCACAGCAAACAGTTCAGGAGTCTGGAGTCATAGCATGCCATGAAATGAGCAATCAGCTGACAGGTGACAGCACACAGGCAGAATTTCGTAAAATGGGTTTTTCATCAAGACAACGATCCCAAACACACTGCAAAAGTAGTCAAGCAGTGGTTTTAAGACAACCATCTATTGGTGATGGATTGGCCGCCTCAATCTCTGAATCTCAACCCTATCGAGAACCTGTGGGAGATCGTCAACCGCAGAGTTAATCATGAATGTGTTCGTAATAAGGATCAACTGTTTGAACAAATCCAAAAGGCCAAGGCAGCGATTCCACAGAGTTTCATTGATCACCTGATCGAATCTATGCCTTAAAGAAGCAAGGCTGTGATCGACAACAAAGGATTCACCACAAAATATTGATATGAATACAGCTTGGTCAACATTTTGTGGAGTTGCACTTGTTTTGTCTAGAAGGAAATCAACTTTTTTTAATACTTTTGATTAATTTATTAATTTTCGTGTACAAATAATGAACTTTGTGATTAATAAAATTTGAAGAACGTTGTCTCTAAACAGTTACATAGTTATATCTCTAAATTGATAAAATACAGCACTTTTATACAAAGAAACTAAATTAGCATCATTTGGTTGCACTGATTTTGTCCGATACTGTATGTGTGTGTGTATATATATATATATATATATATATATATATATATATATATATATATATATATATATATATATATATATATATATATATATATATATATATATATATATATATATATATATAAAAATATTTCATAAAAATAGATTCAGAATTCTACATGTCTTTTAAAGTCATTTAAATGTCATTAATGTATATATTTTAGATATCGGCGACGTGGAAGAAAATGTTGACGGCAATGCAGAAATATAGTTTCTTATGTATATTTTTGTGAAATAAAAATTAAGTAATGTTAGTTAAAATGTTTCTTTACTTATTTAATTTAATCCTTTTTTATCACTAATTTAACCGCTGTAACACCTTTGTATCAAACAAGTCCCAACAAAGAAAGAGATATCTAAAATGCATCTAATATGCATCTAAAAACTGGTCTAAAAGACGTCTAAATTCACGTCGTGAACGGGACATAAATAGATGTCTATCTTATAGATGTCTTTTAGATGCATTTTATTCGACACAAATAAATGTCTTAGATGCATAAAAGATGTGAAATATACATTTAAAGATGTGTATTAGATGTATATTAGATGCATAAATGAGCTATTATTAACTAAAAAATTATCTATTATCTATCTTTTTTAAACGCGCCTTAGACATCTATTTAAGAGACGTATTTTATACATCTAATATGCATCTGTAAGATGTCTATTTCACATCTTTTATGCATCTAAGGCAATTATTTGTGTCGAATAAAATGCATCTAAAAGACGTCTATAAGATAGACGTCTATTTATGTCCCGTTCTAGACCTGAATTTAGACATCTTTTAGATCAGTTTTTAGATGCATATTAGATGCATTTTAGATAGCTTTTTGTTTGCTGGGCATTTGCCGTCATATTGAGGATCAATTGATTTTGTTTTAATTTTACATAAATAATGAATGATCATTCAGAAGCAAGAAAATTAAAACATTAAACTAACTGTATAGACTACATCACTATGCTGTAAATTACGAATCAACTTAGTTGATTCCGCAGCTCTGTTTGTCACTGTTTCTTTATTAATGTCAAGGACCGTCTTGTCAAGCCGCTTTTATATGAATTAAAAGTTCTTAATATATAACAGTTGAATTTTGTAAAAAAGTTGAAAGTTCTATTTAAAATGTATAAATGTAAAACTCACTTATATCCAGCTTCTATTAATAACTTGTATTTGAAATAAATGTATTTTAAAGAATGATAATTTAATTAGACAACCATTTTCTTAAATTAATTTTGGAAAAAAAAAAACGTTTTGCGAACCGTTTTTTTGGAATATACTAAATACTGCTATTGAAATTTTGATTATACTAACCTATCTACAAAATTCTTAAAAACAAAACTTAATTTTATAACAATATTTAATTTTAAATAAAAATAATAATATTTTTTAATAATAATTTTTTATTAATAGTAATAATATTTTAACAATAATTAAATCATTAAATAATGATTTACTATGCTTACTTATTAAGTTGCATAATTCTTTTATTTTATTTTTGCGATTTATAAGATTCAGTGGTTACGTTTCGATAAATAAATAATCAACAACAAAGCAAACAAAGTTGTTATTTTTAAAACAACAAAACTAATAAAGTGGTTATGTTCAAAACAAATAAGCTTACAAAGTTGTTATGTTTGACAATATGAACAGCCAGTGAGGTCGTGACGTGATATTTTGAATCGAAGTGGACATTTTTGTTTGCACAAACTGTTTGAAATAACTAGAAGAAAAAAAGATTTTAATTTTATCTAAGCTTTTGGTTGTTAAATACTTTTAAAGACATTAATGTGATTTATAAACAATGGCAAAGCTTCCTATTTAAGTTTTTTTAAATATATAATATAGGTATATAGGTTAAAGTTTGAAAAAAAGAAAAAAAAACGTAAAAGGTTCTAAGATTGAATTCATAGATTTTCTTATAACCCATATTATCATTATTTTATTATAAAAAAAACTTAGAGATTAATATTGTATTGCTAAAATAACTCTACTACAAAAAGTTAAACATTATGTATATTTAAAAAAGTAATAACTGGATGTCATAGCGATATCACTCAACACATTATATATATATATATATCTTTATATTAATACTTTATTCTTTGGGTCAGTGTCGAGATAGGATTTTTTGATATTCCCCTCTTCCTCTCCAAATGTAAGGGAAATTTTCTTTCGGCAGCTTGTTATTCACACTGATCCTTGCCATGAAAAGGTGTGTTATGAGTGAAGGTTTGCATAACTGTTACAAATTAGTCGGTATTGCTATGAAATACTGAAGCTGAATTTTAAATAGATAAAGAATTATAAAATGCACCTTTTTCTGTAAAATATTGGTTTTGCTCAATGAAAAAAATGGCTAAATGCAGTGACATCCCTCTTTTTTCCAAAATATTTTTGTCGAAATTCCCTTAATTTGAATGTTAAAGCTACTTGGCAATTGTCTTTTAACTTAAATCTAGATTCATTATCAAGACGAAGACATGTACCAGAAAAAATCTGTGTTTACAGAAACCGTATATCATTTTAAATATCTAATTGCTTTAATATGTCATTGTATTAGTTTTATTCAAATTGAAATGTCATCAAATCAAAATTAGAAGCAAGAAAAAATTTTGTATTTTTTTGTTAAAAATCCTGATTTATCAAAAAATAAAGAGTTGCAGATTACTTTGAGAACAGTGCAGAGCGTTGTGAAACAATTTAAGGATACTAGTACAATCAAAAAGAAATTAGAAAATGAAAGAAAAAAATGTTTCGTTAGATGAGATCTTGGTAAAAGTGTGAAAAATGCCTTAAACAGAAAACATAAGGATTTCTGTTTTGAACTTTAGCGAATAAATTTAAAACAAGTGATAACACTATACAAAGAATATAGAGAAATTGTGGCTATAAATCTTAAAAAAGAAAAAAATGAAGATGAAACTTATTGCGCTGCATATTTCCAATATCTTCTAGGACACCAATATTTTTCAGCAATTAATCGCAGGAAGCTAAATTTTAATTATAAATACATTAGAATGCAAAAATTCGCTAAAAATTCTTAGTTTAGATGGCGATTTGTGAATGTGGTGAAAGAAGCTCTTGTTTTGTGACTACGGGAACAATTAATATCAAAATATACATAAAATAATGTCTCAAGAAATGTCTTTTGCCGTTTTTAAGCACACACACGGGTCACCTGTTATTTTGGTCCGATTTAGCATCATGTCACTTCTCTGAGACAAATTTAAACTGGCTTAGAGAATATAAAGTAGATTTCGTTAAAAAACTCCGCAATCTACCAAAAATATATATATATATTTCCACAATAAAGAAGAAAAAAAAAACTTAGGATGCAGTTGTCTCACTGTTTTTAAACATTGTCTTTAACTTTAAAATCCTAATAATTACTTTTCATGTGTTAAACGGTCTAAAGTTTAATTGACCATAACACAGAAACTACAAATATTCAAAAACAAAATACTTTCCAAACTTCTTTCAAACCCAATCAGCATTAGAATATATTTTTACCTGATACTTTTGCTTGTTTTTCTCAGAAAATAACTCTTAGCTGCAGTAATTTTAATTTATCAATAGTTGCACTTCCATTAAATATTTGCTTTTTTATTTTGTATTTTGTATTTTGTTTTTGTTTTGTTTATACGGCCGTATTTTTTAGTATAATGAAGGATATAATTTATAATAATGTAATGAACAGATGGTCTTCTGCCAGCGCCTGCTAACTTAATCTTTTGTAACTTGGCCTCTGACAATAATTGTACAATCAGGAAGTGTATTTAGAAGAATTTCAGTATAAAAAACTATTTTTTATTTGATAAATAAGATTTAAAGATTATGTTTGACAAATAAAATTCAATCGGAGTAGGATTGTTTCCAAAACAACGGAAAAAAGCCCAACACGACATGCTATTTTAAAAATAATATACTGACACTAAAAATTAAAATGCCTATTGAGATCTGGTATTTTTTTCTCCCCTTTCAACTTTTAATAGGTTTCTACACCTGCCACTGATACCTGAAGGTAAGTAATGGTTTTCTGGATCATAATTCCTAATAAAATATTACCTAATTGTTAGTAGTGTTAATTCAATTTTATATGCTTGAACCATTTTGGAAACAGACCAAACACATTTTGGCCTAGTTTGTTTATGAGAAAAACCTTTGCTTGGCTTTTAGAAAATCTTTTTGTTTTAAATATAGTTTGATATTATATATTTACACTATTTCGCTGACCTATAGCGATCAGCATCTTCAGGTGTAATAAAATACGTTACAAAAGTTGTAACAAAACTACATAAATCAAAATAATATAATGGCGTCAGTTGAAATTTTGACTAAAACGGTCTCCATGTTTCTCTTTTCACCTTTAAATTTCTATTCTTTTTTGAAGAAAAAATTTCGTTTGCATTTCGTATCTTCAAGTTTGTTTCATCGTTTTTTTGTGAATTTCTTCATGAATTTAAATGCCTGTAGTTTGTTTCGGCAAAAAAAAATAAATTTTAAAATAAATTTTCAATGTCATTGGTTATCACCAAAGATACAAAATTTTATTTTAATGACCAGAAGTAAAACAATTTTAATTTTCCATTTCAAAATATTCAATAGTTTTGATATAAATAGTAAAACGGTCAAGAGTTTTCTTGGTATTCTGGAATATAGATGTGTAAAAATCTCCTCCACATAAATACTTAAACACTGTTGCGAAATATTTTTTAACGCCAAAGACATTGAAAAGCCAATGTATACTGTTTTTTTAAGATTATTCTTATTGTTTTTGTGTTTCTTTCCATTTTCATTTGTATAACAAGGATATTTTTAGGTTAATATTTTTCTTTGAAATTTTGTACAGACAAAATATAATCTATAAAAAATAAAAATGTGCTGAGTCAAATATACTTGTGCAATGGTGTACCAGGTATTTTGCGTAGGTGATGGGTCTTTTAGGGTTTCTCCAATCCCCTTAGGAAGACCTTCAGTAGCTTTTTTTGTTTTTTTTGTTTTTTGTTCTTATTACAATATATTCAAAGAAAAATTAATTAATTTACAATTAGATCGTTAGGAAAAATTTACAATTAGATCCTTAAGAAAAATTTACAATTAGATTGTCAAAAAAGTTACCCAATAAGAAATAAATAAAAGATAAAACTAAGACTATTTTTGTTAATATAAAAAGAACGCGGAGACTCGCAGAAGACCATTGGTCTTGTCACCAAGAACCGTTCATGAATTAAAATTTCATAAAATTCAATATATATATATA